TGAATTATATTTTTAATGTTATTAAAGAGACATTAAAATATATAGAATAAATTTATATTTAAAATGTATGAAATGCTGTTATATTAACTAAACGATAACTGTTTATTAATAAAGTTTAAAATAAATTAACATTCAAATTATAAATAGACAGCATTCATTTTTTTTTTTGTACTATTCTCAGTTAAAATCAATGTTAAACTGAATTTCATAAATTTTTTAAATAGTAAGTATTAGATTTTCACCTCTTCTCAATTAGGTTTGTATTATTGTAAAATTGTAAATTACAAGTATCTTATACTATACTAGCTGACCCGGCAAACGTTGTTTTGCCAAAAAGTTTATTTAAATATTATTTATTTCTCCAAAAAATAACAAAATCGAAATCCTATTGAAAAGAAATAATAGGAGCGTAATACGATTGTTAATTAAATAATAATAATATTATACATGGATGAATAATTTTTAATTTGTTTTTTTTAGTATAACAACAAAAAAATTTAAACAATTAATTAGTAAGTTAGCATTTACTTTTTTAAATAATTTTTAGTAATTTAGCATTTACTTTTTCTAATAATTTTTTTCGAAAAAACCTTCTCCTGACAATTATGAACAATTTAAAAACAATTTGAGTCAAATCGACCCAGCTGTTCTCAATTGATGAATTGTTATACATTTTTGGCTCCATTTTTATATACCTACAATGTAGGTCCTACATAGATTATAATATGTCGAAAATTCATAACCATGACTATATTAAAAATTGTCAAAAAATTAGAATATTTTTTTCATCCTTTAAATATATTGTTTATTTATTTATTTTGTCGAAAATTGGTTATTGATACTATGAACCGTAATTCGTATTATAGGTGTCTACGTTCGTTCATAGTATTTCCAGACAAAATTTTTGAAGTCATTGTTTTCAACGATATAAGCGTGTAGCTACATATTCATACTTATCTATCACTATGTGCGTACCTAAATTGAATAGATACTAGTAAATAAACTTGTATACGAAGAACAATCGTTTATTAGTGTAATGTATATTAATTTTGGTAAGGTATTTGAGAATTTTACGTTTAATTTGAAGAAAAAGTTAAACGTGACAAAAACTATATACCGGAGTACAAATTGGATAATAAAAAGTAAAGCTTGAATAAAGACTATACTATTAAATGGCTGCATTAAATGTCCCGTTACATAAAAGCTCTATTGTTTTAGATTCCCAAAGGATTGATGTCGCAGCGGGCAATTTCACTGAGCGCATTTTTATTTTTATCTTCCAGAATCCCTGCAGCTGCAGTCCGCGAATATTATATTAATCTCAATCCAAAGTAATAGGCATATTTATTTTAACACACCTGGGAATGCCGTGTACCTAATACATTTATATGTACGTAATGAATAATTAAATTATAAGAGTTACTTATAAATACTTGTGACTCAATTTCAATAATAAAATATAAGTACTTCATGTAAATACGGCTACGTTATTTTTCGTTAACGATAATATTTGTTTATTATGACTTTGATGTACTCATAACGCAAGTGAAAAACTAACTGAATAAAAATCGATTAATCCAGTTTATATTATCTATTTTGACATTAAAAATTAATACTACACCTTATTTAATCGTTTTATAAATTTCATTCTGTGTATAAATTATATGTTTACGATGTATATGCTCCTACCATTAGGTATTTTTATAGTTGTTTACAAAGCTGAAGCAAACATTTTAATTTGATATGGGCACTATAAATCAGAATAACACCATCGAATTTACCAGACAATTATTGAAACATTTCAATATTGTTAACGATTATACCCATTTAACTAGCTGCTGTTATGCGTTACTTGTAAACAACTTAAACATCTTATAATTGAAAAATAAAGAATAATATTAACTTTATATTAAATTACAACAAAAAATTATATTAATAATATTAAATATTAATATATTTAATTATATTAATTATATTTAATTACAACAATTATAAAACTTCTCTATAAACTATTATTTTTGATATATTTTTATTTGGTGCTAAATTACTTAACTTATGGGCGTGCTGACTCTGGAGCTTTATATGTGAAAAAGAGCCTAAAATATATGCTAGATGCTCACAGCTTATAAGCGCTGACTCATCGATGTATATATAGGTATACAATTTACACTTAAAATTTGGTTTTTTACTGATTTCAACCCCTTAAAATCAAAATTTAAAAAACTATTTCTTAGTATACGGTGAAATTTTAATATTAATTAACCCTCAAATTTCAAATCGATAACTCTAATAGGTTTGGCTCTTTGTTGATTATGAATTAGTCACTCAGGAATCAGGATAGCCTGTTTATGCATACAGATAATATCTTATCTTATATATGATTACAGTAATATTAATAATATTAATTATACAAGTATTTTTCTATTAATTATATTTATAACTTTTTAAAAATATTAATCAACTCCAAACGTACATTCTACTTCAATAATTAGCATTAAGTACTGAATTGATTTTTTAATTTGAATTTGTAAGAAAATTGGACATAAGTATAATATTGTAGAATCTTAAAAAGCAAAATACAAAATAATAAAATTATTTTTAAAAGAACCTACTGTACCGCAAAAATGTCTATTGTACAATGAATGTAATGTATTTCTATTTGTAAGTAAAATAACAACTATTTAATAAAGCTTCTTTAGTTCTGTACTTTAAATCATTAAAAATAAAACATCAAAACAGAACACGAATACAATATTACTAGACAATAATTAGTAATTGCTAATTATATTATAAAATATTATAGTGCAATTGATGTACAAAAAAATAATATAATCTTAATTTGTCGTTACATCAAAGTCTAAAATTTATTAATATAAAATATATGTCACCATAATTATCATAGAAATTTAAAAAAGTAATTCCTTTAATATTGGTGAAACTAAAATATTGAAGTTATAAACATTTAACATACTGAAAACAATTTGTATAATATAGGTATTAAGGAAAAAAATTAGTATTTAAGTGTGATATATATTAAGTGATTAATCTACTTTATTTTATACAGTATATCGATGAATTTCATATTATATTGTTTGGACTCTGAACTTGTTATTTTATAAGATAAAAATACTTATAATTAATTAAATATGTATCATTATTATTTTTTGTTTTATGCAAAATGAATAACTAATAAGAATTATAAAATATGAATAATAAATAAATCATGTATTCATAATTTAACGAGAGCTTAAATGTATTAGTTTATGATCCATTTTCGTGTTAAATGTTATAATATTTATGAATTTGGTAAAAATCAATCATTTTTTTTTTAAATTCATCTAAAAAATGTATGGTCCTTGCCAGGGTTTTTCTAGCATTTATTAGGCATTAGTTCATTTGATTTTTTTTTCTTAATCATTTTAATGATTATGTCAACAGAGAAAATTTTGAAATATTTAAAACTAAGGAATTATTAAATTTAGTGTTCTAATAATTTTTTGAGCATTATTAGCATAATATAATAAATTGTATACATTTTCTTTTCAATAAATTTAAACATAAAAGTCTTATAAAATAAACCATGATCTGAAAAATTTTTGAAACAATATCTTATTATAACTTAAAAACTTGTTGGATGATTTCCAAAATAGCTCATTTTGATAATGCTTTTCAAAGTTTGTAAAAATGTATTATATTCTTATTAATCAACCTTGCTTTATTTTATTTTTATTTTTTTGAAACGTTAGTATGATATCTCAAACAGTGTTTATTTTTAACCACGCGTGATAATTAAATTAAATCTTCTCAAATCCCAGTTTTTTCAAAAGTATTTTAAACCAGAACCTGATTGTAACCAAATCCAAAAAGTTCTTTATCAGTAGAACCAAAACTACAACTCATATTTGAAGATTAAAATTATTCGGATTTCACATTGGTTATGTTAACTCAAAATTTAATATAATTGAAATGGACAAACTTAACTCGTGTTATTTTTTTATTTATTGTTATCAATTTTAAACTTATAACATATCAATTAACACCAAAACATCTATACTTTAATTTTAATTTTAGATAACATGGGAAAAATAATGATTTCAGTATCAACAATATATTTTCCGATAAAAATAAAAACCAAAAATAACTATTTCAGCAAGAAATTAAACCTAATAGAATTTTAAAAGAAAAAACATTTTACTAAAAATCATTATCTCTATCAAACCAAATTCGGACTGAAAAGAAATTTTGTTTTTAAGTACATATGTGATAATTTTTTTTTTTTTTTGGTGTGTGTGTATAAAAATTCCTCGATAAATTAGTATAATTTATGTTTTGAGCTATTTTTTTCTCACAAAATCTTAAAATTCAACTAGTTATTTATATTTATATTTTATTTTGGTATCTATAGGTTAATTTGTTAAGCATGCTTATACCTTATTTTTCTTTATTGAGTTCACTTAGCCTTAATATAATCATTTTTAATTAAAAAACTATTCATTTAAATTTGAATTATTTTATAAGAACTTTTAAAAAAAATGTATCTATTAAATAATTTACACTAAAACAAGAAAGTTTACATTTAAATAAACAAAATGTATATTATTATAACCATAAAACACTTCTTTATAGTGGTACAAAAACTATCAAGAATTTAAAAGTATAGCGTTTAAGTATATTTACAAATTTAAAAGTCAGAATTTGAATAAATTTATTATTAAAAGAAAAAATAGCGCTTATTATATGTTTGATGAATCGCTTTATGCATTAAATATTATTATTTTGAGTAGCTAGGTATATATAAAATGTACATTGAGAGATATTAAAGAGTATAATAAACAAAACAAATGATTAAAGACATTGCACTATCAAGTTTAAGAGAAATTCTAGTTTATATTTTGCAAAATTTTCTACTGTTTGAATTATATTTATGTAATAAAGGTGGGGTAAAATAAAAAAATCGAATTTTTTAATGTAGTTTTGTAATACCTACGCTTATTACTTACTTCTAACGTGAGAGTGCCGGACACCGAATCATCTTGATACGGCCGTGACTGGAGTGACAGCACTTGTCTCTGGTAAGGATTAACAAGTAGTTCTTCGACGCTTACAATAGCCAACCCCATAAACTGATTGCCGCCATTCGGGTTGCAATCATATACTTCGAATAATATCTCCTCAGTCGTCCGGTTCAGTGTGCTTAAAACAACAAAACACATTATTACGAACCACCGCGGCAAACCTACGACTGTAGCAGGTTAACGAAAAAATTTTATTATATAACGATACGAAAATTTTATTTACAACATAAAGTTTTCATTCCACTGTGGTGATGAAGTGTTTTTCTTTGTTGAAGTCTGCTTCTTCTGAAACGGATCGTCGACTTCGATCACGCAGTACGGCTCGAAACATCCTACACCGGACAATTACACAACATGTTTCAAAAAAATATTCATTTAAATATGTTTGTGTAGTTAAAAAATAAATGTAACCACTTGGTTTAACCTTGTTTGAGTCCGAGTCCGACCGCTTTTATGACTTTAACCATTAATCTTTTCTCTCCTGGCTTCATGGCTGTTGGCTCTATTTTCGGGCTTATCTATAACACGCATATGACAATATAAATGTATATTATTTTATTTCCATGCATATATTTTAGTTTATTTACTATTGTTGTTTTGTATACAAGCTTGTAGTCAAATTTTACAACAAAAACAGTTCAACGTTATCTGTATTCATGGTATTATATGTAAAAAAAAAATAAAGGAAAAAATTACACATGTACACACATAATGTAATTCACTACACAAATTTATTATAAGGGTGAAAATCAAAAAAAAAAAAAAATAATAAATAAGAATATTTTAAACCTTCTTTACTTATTACATTACGTTCAAAAACAAATAATAACGTCTAATAGTTTTTCAAAAACATAATACATAATTCTACACATATTTTTTTTATAACTGGCAACAACTATGCTAGATTTTCTAATTTAAAAGAAGTAATTATTTATTTTTTTATGTAAGAAGAGAATTTTTTCGGGTTACAAAAATACGTAAAAATATATTTTTATTATTATAGATATATTTACGTTAGAGTAAGCAGTTATTTTAAGTACATTAAACAATTATACACGATTGTAACATGAAATATAAAGAATACAGTTAATATGTATATAGAACTAAATCAAAAATAAACATTAAGTGAAGAAATAGTATTAAAATGTATTTAAAGATAAGATGATTTGCCTAAAGTAAAACTAAATATGAATGTGATAAATTTAAATTGGTAAAAGTAGCGATGTTTATAAGACACATAGCATATATATGAGAGAACACGAAAATAAACATGAGAAAAATAAACTAGAGGCATATCATATACTATTTTAGAGAAATATAATTTATTAGAGATCAATGTCAAAATTAACAGAAAATAAGGAGGAAATATCGATTACGTATATGGATAAATGATGTGATGTGAACAAATTGGTCCTTAAATAAACAAGAATACCATACCATACACTTAACTAAGACGGAGCGAATCAATACCAAATAAAATAAGTTGAAACAATTAACTGCATTGAACATTCTACTTTTTAACCTAACCTAAGTAGATTTGTATTAGTAATCCAGTTTTCAATTGTATTGATCGAAAAAAACTAAGAAGAGAGAACTTAATTGAATACATTGTTGAACTTCAGAAGGCACATTTATCAACAATGAATCAATTTAAAATAAATTTATAGATACCACGAAGTTCTTGATATTTGAAGTAAGATTTTCGATAACTTAAAGGGCACAATCGAGAGTAAGTAGATAGTTCTAAGAAGTATATAGCTTAATTTAAATCAGGGCTTGCAAACGTTATAATAACATTATGATTATAACGTTATATTTTACAAAAACGATTGAGGTTTGTAACGTAATTATAACGGAAAATGATAAACATAAAACATAAATAACACAAAATAAAACATAATGATTAACAAAATATATGATATATCATTAAACAATACATAACGCCAAACGTTAAATATAGTATATCATTAAATGAAATAATCAATTTCCAATTATTTAATAGTTATAATCTATAAAGTATATTAAAAATTTTAATTCTGAATAGCAATAAACGCAAAAGTTGAATAACGTTTTAATTGTAAATAACGTAAAACAAAATTTGTTTTCAAATGCAAGCCCTGATTTAAATAGAAGTCTAACTATTTAAATTATTTTTGAATTAAATATGCTTCTAGAAAGATTTGAATTACAAAAAAAAAAAAAAAAAACCATCAATTTAGGAGAACGGGCTATTCGAAGAGTTTCTATGAAATCTAAACATGTAAAAATTATTAATAATAATCAATTCAGAGTTCAAAATATTAAGAGTGAGATAGCTATGGTTCAGTAAGAAAAATTATATTAAACAAGTTGATAAAAAATTTTAAATTGAAAATACTAAAAGTTCCACTAAAATGTTTAAGTGTTAAATTGACAGAAGGGTTGTCATAATAAATTTAAATAACAGTATATAACAGATTAAGCACAAAATAAAAACCATCTTTCTTGTTTAGAATAAATTTTTAAAAGCTGTAAAATATTAGAAAAATCAACTACTAAAGTAATATGGTTTGAAAGTTTCATAGTTTTTATTTAAAGAATATTTAAAAGTTTAAATTATTATATTTTACCTAACTATATAAAATAAAATTATAAATAGACTACTTTTAGCTGTTTTTATTATTATTTTTGATATTTTTTGTTTAAAATAATTGTTTTAAAGGACTCATTTTCAAACAACTTTACTAATTTTAAATCATATGATAAATAGTCGAATAAGGGCAATAAATTAAATTTAAAAAACAAACAATTTTCTTTAAAAAAAAAAAACAATAATGCATATAATATGATATATAATATTTAAATAATTTTATATTTAGCAATATATTAAAAGAAAGTAATATCAATATTTAAACTATATGATATGTAAAATCGAATGTATAGTTTTTTAATTTTAGTAAAATAATATCCGATTATATTGAATGGTGCTAACATTTCTGATACAATTAAACAAATGTAGTAGTTACTACGAAGTATACACATCACTATCACATAAATATTGTTTCGATCATTAGTTCAATGGAATTAAATGGAATATTTATAATATTTACTTAGTTCAACAGTTTGTTATTATTATTGTGCAGTGAGAATTTTATTTCAAAAGCGTTGGGTCATATTCCATGATAATAATATTATACTATTTCATGCTCGCACATGCAGTACAATTATCGTGTACCATAGTGGTTTAAATGAGCGTAGTCCATTTGCACCAAAATTGACCCTAAATAATTACAATATGTGTAATTTTCTCCAACATTTTTAAACTATATTTGTTATTTGCATCAAAATAAAGATATGTAATTTGCACCATCTCAGGTAGTAATAAATAAGAAATGTAATTAGCACCAAAATCAAAATTGATTAATATAAGATATGTACCTACTATCCAAAGAATAATCGTACAAGTTTTGATATTTGAGTATAATATATTAAAAAAAGTTAAAATATAAAATTAATAAAACAAACTGATGTTGCATTGATTGCCAGACTAGTTAGATTGCAATTTATGTTTTGATACATACAGGTTTTTTGTGTATGTAAACAATTAATTCAATGAATGAAGTTGTTGATATCAATGTATTATTTATACTAGTCTAAAGCAACTTCAATTTTATTTATTCGTTCACTTATTTGAGAAGTCTATCGGTAAATAATATGTAAACTTAATAGTTTTATGTACGTTTCTGTTTGAAAATCAGTGAAAACTTTAATGAAGTAACATTTTTTCTTAAATATCGAAACTTGTACAATTATTCTTTCGATAGTACGTATTTTAAAATAATCGATTTTTATTTTGATACTAATTACATTTCTTATTAATTCTTACTACCTATGGTGGTGCAAATTACGAACTCCCGTTGAATCATCACCATTGTGGTTATCTCATAAAATAATGGCTTGAAATAATTGTATTGTACTTACTATTCGTTCGGTGTACGAGTCCAAAGGCGAAGTAGTTATAGTCTGTTGACTTTTCACGAAATTCGGAAACTCTGACCAACGGTACAAATCGACAGAAAGGTCTGTTGATCTTATAGCACCGGTTACAATGTCCATGATCACGTCTTGCAATTGTACTTCGTCCATTGTTTTACTTTTAATGTATCCTACCTGGGCCAACATAACTTTTACCTGAAATTTAAAACCACAATTTTGTAATGGTCACGATAAATTGCAATAAATAGAATACTTTAAAATCTAGTACTGTAAAAATCCATAAATTATACTACGATTGAAATGTATATTACGTTTGATTCGTTAACATGAAAATGCCTATCGTAGATTTTAAGACATATTCGCTTTAATGGTACATTTTAATCGAGACATTCCGAATATTATATAAGTACTTACATAAAGTTGACACAAATTATTAACAAGAATCTTAAACTAACGTTAATTCATTGAAATATCAATTAAAATAATACATTATATTATGAGTATACTCAAAAGTGTTTAATTATAAAACCTCAATATTGATACATAATATTATAAAAAACAAAAAAAAATAAGCTAACAATAAATTACCATATTATTTGACTTGACAGTTCAATTTTATTTTGTGAATCTTAATTTATTTAAAAAAGTATTGATAAATATGATTAAAGGAATAAGAACATTGATTTATTATTAAATGATTGTAACATATTTAATATATTTTTTAATAAAATCAAACGAGTTTACTGATTTTTTTCAAGTACCTTCTTGTAAATATTGCAATTCTGTGTTCAACTCAAAACTACATTCTAAACTCTAAACTAGGATGATTTTGGAAAGAGGGATTAAGCTTAAACTACATAATATTTAAGCCATATAGTTAACTTTAAAGAATACAAAGCGTGTTTAATTCTCTCAATGACAGTTTTTACGTAAAACATTGAGAAACGTAAACAAGCACCTAAAAGTCTAATATAAAGATGAACACGTAAAAATACTTTTGGCCATCCATCGAATTTGATTTGTCCTCTCTTCTTAGCAGTGTCACATGATATGTTCAACCGAGCTTGTAACTTGTTTACATTTACTCGGTAATGAGAAACGTCCACTTTGTCACCCTTCTGTCGCATTGCCTTCAACTGCATCGCTGGCGTAGCATCACAGTCACACGTAATCGTCTGCACAACAAAATTGCAGTAACAATAATTATAAAACTTATATAATGAAATAGTTTAGGTTTTTTTTTTTTTTTTGATTTAGTACCTGAAACAAGTTTTCAGTTTGCGTAAAGAATTTCAGTATAAAGCCGATTAGTAGAAAACCAAAAACTGATAATCGCTTTTATTTCAGTAAAAACTAAAAAAATATTGATTAGTAGTAATTAATAATATGTTGCCTACCTCATATTTTAAAACTAAGACTTAACACCAAAAGCAATGACCGATCAAGTTAATAAAAAATTACATATTATAATAGAACATGTATTATTTTTTTATTATTTATGTAACTCTTATAATGAAAATTTAAATTAACATAGCACAAAAATCGTACGTGTGTTTAATATTTATATGTATTTAAATTTTGATTAACATTTTTATTGTTTTTTAATCGAATTGAATTATATTTAATTCACTTTTTAAATTATTTTTTATCAATAAAAAAATTACATGATGATTTGCATAGAATGAGATTATTTTTCTTTGTTTTTTAGATATAATTTATTTTTACTCTAGTTTTTTGGAAAGGTGTTCTACTTATCAATTACAATGAACAAAAAAAAGAAAATAATATGATCAAATAATGAGTACTGATTTACTGTACGATGGGTGTCGATTGAATCAATTTGATGAACGTGTTAAATTTGAATTTAATAATATTCTATCTTAATGAAAAAAACAATTCTAAACATATACACTAAGTATATTTGATACTATGTTTTTTTAAATAAATATTTAATAAAATAATTTATTTTTATTTTATATTAACACAGTAATTTAAATTAATTTTTACAGAATAAAGCGGATTTTAAAATAGTTTTGCATATATAAAACAGTGTAACGTCCCCCCTTTGCCGGTGCTAGCGGACTTTGCGTTCCCTTCTGGTCAAGTTATATTTTTATTAACGAGGTTTCAAGGAATCGACCTCGGCATGTAATATTAATATCAGAGACCAGGGTTACCTTATTTAAGTAAAGCCGAGTAACCTAACCTAACCCAAGGAATAATGTACGATATCGATAAACGACAATCGTTACAAAGTAAACATAAAAGTTTTATGTATCCCCGAATAATGTTTTTTAACTACCTACAATGAAATATTAATAATTATTATTTATATTTTAAATACCTATGTAATTTTATCCAAATTTGAAGATATTTATAAAAAAAAAAAAAATTAAACTATAAACCAAATAAAATTTTGAAGTTTTGAAGTAAAATAAAACTCAAAAAAATGTTTTATTGTTAAAAAAAATGTCATGTATTTTAAAGTTAATGGGAAAGCTCTAAAACGGTTAAATATTGTGTAAATATGTTCCTGAAATCAAAAACATCGAAATACGCTAAAATGTGCTAAATTAAATTTTGAATTTAAATTTATTTTACTATAAATAGGATTTTCATTTGATCCATATTGAAATATAAAAAAAATGCAAATTCTAGAAGCTTAAATATATACAATCGATTATCGTATTAGTCCGCGAGAGACTTCACCATATTATTATAATACATACGCCGTAGCCCAACGACGTACCATAAACTGTATAATACTTTAGATCCAATAAAATTAAATAATAAGTAATACTAACAATGTTTTCGTAAGCTCCAAGTTCGCAAAAAACGTTGCTGAATACTGGTGGGTGAGTTTCTGGTAGAAACCGAACAAATTCGACGCCAACACCGTGCTGAAACACAATTTTACGTTTTAATATTTAAAATAAATCTTCAATTGTGTAAAATTATAATGTATAAATTGATATTTTTTATACAATATTTTATTTACTAGCTGTATTAGCGACTCGCATAACGAAGTGAGGAGATCTAATATATCGAAAGAGACATCAAACTGAAATTAATAATCTAATAAAATACGGATAGTTAATACAGCTATTGATAAAGTTATAGAAGTTATAGAATACAGAAGTTCAATTATTAACGACTTAAATCATTACAAAGTTCCAAAGAGAAATTTAACTTAAAAGCTACGAATACCTGGAAGCGTTTTTAAACTCTTTCAATTGACACACATCCTGAATTAGATTAAAAGCTTCAAATAATTTAATAATAGTAATATTTTAATCTGTAACCATCAGCAACCATAGAAATAAATAAAAAATATTCAATTTTCATTAGCTAAAACTAAATTCACGTGTTAACCACTTCACATTAGCCATTAGAGATTAGAATAATGAGCTAAATACGCCCTCTGATTCTAAAAGAATCTATATTAATATATCTTTTATTAAAAACAGTTCCGTAGCTTATAAGATTAACGGATCCAAACATACGCACAAGCTTTTCAGTTTTATACTATTAGCATTGATTATAGAATAAACAATAATAATAATATAATATAATATAATATAATTATAATCTATAATCAATGCTATTAGTATAAATATATATTGATGTTAAGGGCAAACACCTTCTATGTACAGTGTACGCATTTTAGAATTATCCAGCAGCAGTATTTAAAATTCGATGAGTATATTTTTCAAAGTATATTATTTTAAATCAAGATTTCTATGAACGATACATAATAAAGTAATAATAGATATATATTTGTGTATTTTATTAATACATAAAAGAATTTTCAGTTGATCAGTATGATAGATAGATAACTATACGTATTTCATTTTATGTATCAATCCTTTTAAGCATGATTCTCTTTCTATCTAATAAATCCTACCACTTTATTACAAAATAATAATCTACACACAGATGAATTGTAATCTGCATGTAATATATTAGGTAAATACACTCGAAAATATACACATAAAGTATATAATTGTATATATTAATAATATATGCTTCTATTTTATAAGTCACACCACTCGCATGTTCTTTTCGCACAAAAGTCAAAATTATAATCATTTATAAGAGGTTAAGAAAACAGAATTAAACCGATAGTAGTAGATATATTCATAAATATTATTAATTATATATATAATATGAAACAAATAGGTTAGGCAGTTACAAATAATTGGTACTACCTACTAACTGGCGACAATATTTTAACAGTCTTATATTGAATTTATTGGAACTAAAAGATAATAGTTATTAAAACCAGATTTGTATAACGAATGTCGAGTGCCGTAAAACAAATATTGTTAGAAAATTATTATATTTATAATCATCACTTGGATCACATAATTTATGATCATGCTACTTTGTGATATTTTAAATGATTAATAATTTTGTTAAAAATGTGCCTTTCTTATCGTACAATATGGTGGTTTAAGCATGATAGCATGATTCTACTAAATTATCAAATGAAAGAATATTTATGCGTTTACTTTTCTTTAAAGTATTTTAAACGCATTATCTGCAGAGGAGTAATACAAAAAAAAAAAAAATAATAATAATAATAAATAAATAATAACATTTAAATAATTTTAAATTTCAATAATTATAGTTAATATATATATAATTTTACATTTAACATGATTTTAAATTAATGTTCCTATATTTTTTTTAATTTATCACGAAAGCCTTGTTATTACAAATTACTCAATTAATTACACTCATTATTAAATTATTAAGTTAATTAGTTAATTAAAGTATAAAAGCAGAGATATAATACTAATCTATATGCATATTATTTATCATTATTATATTAAATACTAATAATATTGTGTCGTAATACAGTACAATAATATTATACATTTATAATGGCATAGACACATAGGTACATGAAGAATAAGGAATTTAAATTATTTTAAATACGTATAATGTTTTTGAACAAAATAAAATGAAACACTTTAAAATAATATCAATCACACATCGTGTTACCTATTAATTATTATATTAATATTATTTTAGCGTACTATTAGTATTTTCGCTTTAAATCGTAATCGCTACACTAGGAAAGTTTTCCATAACATAATAATAATATTATTATTATAATTATAATTAATGGTAAATGTTATTATGTGCTTACTTTGGTTTGAACAATAACCCCCACAAAATAAGAGTAGGTACTTCGAAAATAATGTTTTTCTTTTATCTTAATCTAAATTTTGACATAATTTATGCTTACTTTTATAAATTGCAGTAAGAATTCCGATATGATTTCTCAGTAATACGCGACTTTTGATAAATCCCGAAATCCCACAACAAACGTGTTAATATTACATATAACAGCATTTTTAATTAAAGACTATATGGTGTATATTCATTACAATACACATTTGTATGATATAAAGCTGCCATCAATAGCAGTATCAATTTTTATAAAACTAAGTATAACTCTATTTTTATAAATATACGCTTTACACCAAAGCTTTAAATCTATTTTAAATATCAATATCAACTGTTATAAATCTCAACGAAATCAAAAGTATTAAGTATCAACATTTAAATTTCCATAAAATTATATTCATAATTTGTAATTAAATTAAACAAATAAAAATCTACAATTTGTATGAAAATAATAATTTTCTTAATCACAAATTTATAAAAATTTAAAATAATATATATATTTAAAATTTTACAAAAGTCAAAATTTAATCAATATGAAGTAAGTAATTTCGTATTTTTAGAACTTTTACCGTTTTATAGCTACGCATAAATAGTATGAGACAAGCAAAACGATGATCATTACACAAAAAAGCATCACTAGTATTTGTAACCATCAAAATTAAAATCAAAAATTTAATTCAGATTTTAAGCTATGCTTCACCTTTGGTAATAAAAGGGTCTCAAAAGTCGAATTTTAATTATTGTTTGAATCTAAAAACGTGGAACCTAAAAAAATTCCAAAACAATTAATTATTGTCAACACAAAAAAGCTACGAAAAGTCAAGTATTCAAAATGTAAAAAAAAAAATGTTTATCAATCAAATAATTCGTTTTATTTAAGTGATATAAGAATATATCTTTTATATATAAAAAATATATTCCTGTGCTTTCCCCATGTTATTTGTTTATTTTTTTCAAATAGCTATTTTTAAAAGTATTAACTAAAATTTAAAACTATGTTCAATCCACTACTAAAAACCATTCTCGATTTAAGGATTTGACTATTAAACTACATATAATATTATATAATGTCACAAGACACACACACAAAAAAAAACAAATTTATCATTGCAAAAACCTAGCATCATTCATCTATCCTTTCAGAATCTAAAACTGATTACATAATATTAAATCAAACTGATAAATCGACTGGTAGTTTATCGATTTTCATTATTTTCAGTAAATAAAATTATGTTTGGGCATTTTTTGGTACACCATTTTTCATATAATATGTACATTTTATTTTTTTTAATATATTTACTACAAGTTGATAAGGAGGGTAGTAATGAGCAAATTTACCACACGAAAAATAAACAGTCAAAATTGCCACCGATGGAACGCGAAAACGTGATGTCAAGACCTAAATCTTTGTTTTTTTTTTATTTCTTCTAAAAACAACAAACAGTATGGTGTCGTAGAATATATTTTCATATTATATTGGTGGTAATTTCGGTATTTTTAAAGAATCTGTTCGGGAATACGTTTAACTGTATATTCAGGTAGATTGCGACGATGGTATTTAGGAGTACCTACATACGCATTTTTACACGAAAAACGATCAAAATAGATATAAAAACATTAAAATATTTAACTGTTTTTCATGTTTAACAAATGAAACTCAAGACGTTTTATCAATTCGATCTGTATAAGTATAAATAATATCGAAGTTTTAACCACAACCATAATATCATAGTATGATCAGATTATAGTTAAATATATTTTTTTAATTATTTATTATATCTTTAAATATTTCATATTCACTAAAATTTGAGCAAGTCAATCAAAGTAATTAATTTCAATTAATTCAAGTGAATAAAATATTGTATAATTAAGAGTCAATAGTTAAAAAATAATACATTTTACTCATTAAACTTTAAATTATTAATATCTACGAAAAAAAAACTTATTTTATTTAGTTTAAAAAAAGTTAGTCTACTTTTTTAATAAGTACAAATATCACATAAAAATATTCTGTGCTTATCTATGTATTATTGTCTATTATCTATCTATAATTTTATCGAGAAACGACAGAAATAATAGTATTATACTATTGTTGTATTAGTTTAATTTTATTTAAAACCACGAACATAGTAATTATTAATTAATAAAGTTATTAGAACTGACAATTTTAAAAATATTCTTAAATACAACTTTATAGTTAGTTTTTAAATCAATTGAATGAATCTAAATTATTTAAATAGTTGATTAAACTAGTTAAGCTCTTAATAGTTAATAAGAAAATTAACTGATACTTTTGTAAATGCCCACATTTACATATTATTAATACAAGTTCTATAGTATTAATGATTTCATAAAAATTAGGTTTTATAATGGTAATAAAATATTAGATTAAAATATAATATTATCAAATAATTTTTTGTGTATATTATAATATGTACAAACGATAACGTGATTCGTACGGCCATCACAGTGCTCATGTATACAATTTAAAAATGTATTGAAATATACCTATTTTAATCACCTCTAGCAATTTTTATTGTTTATGAGCAACATTTTGAATTTTTGTGCAAATTATCCGCTTAAATTATAATAAACATCTGCAACGACGACTGCGACAACTAGCCGTAAATTTTTTCACGGACCGATTAACGGAATCTGTTGCTAGAAAATGTGAATTAACCCCTAAAGCCGATACAAATATTTT